ATATATTAATAATATATACCATCATAATATATTATATATAATATTAATATTATTAACATATTATTGTAACAATATATAATATAATATTAATATTGAGCAAGATTGTCAAGAATTAAATGAGGCATTGAACAACGTGCATGGCTTTAGGAAACGAAAACATACTTCATTCACTAAGAAGGAAATCAAAGAACACAAGAACAAGAAAAACTCGTTGAAGCTGGATGTGGTGGTGTGTATCTTTATTCCCAACTTTCCAGAGGTAGAGGCAGACAGATTTTTGTGTGATCAATGCCAGCCTGGTCTACGTAGTGAGTTCCAGGCCAGCTGGGGCTATAGGGAGACCCTCTCTCAAAAAAACAGAAACAAAACAAAAACAGTCCCACAAAAATGGTCATAAATTGCTTGAGACAGAGAAACTTGTGAGATATACAGTAACTCTCCAGCATCATGCTAAAATAGTTGTGAAAATTAAAACAAGCAGCAAATAAAGCTCCTTTTTATATAGAAAATGCACAATCCAAGACAGATAATAATCTTTGCATAATATAAAGAAACCACGTTTAAAATATGAAAGAAACTGGGAGATGGGTGGAAATAAAAAAGTAAATGATTTTATAATGGAAAAATGTATATATAATGATATATATATATATGTAATGGAAAGAAAAGTTCCCATTTGTGTATAAAAATCACTACATAACTATGAATAGAGAAAAGAATATACGACATCTAAGTCAGCAGAGGAGAAAAAGTCCAAAGAAAATCTAAAATAAGAAACCAACAAAAGAAAAGAAATAGCAAAAAAAGAATGAAAAAGAAAAGTACACAAGCTACGGTGAGAGACACAAAACCAAACAGCTCAGCTGTGTAAATATAAAGTTAATTTAATCTTGTTGATAAGATAGAAACCTGAAATATATCAGACATATAGTTTAAAAATAGTTGGATATTGAAAAGTATGTGAAAAATTTGAAATAAAGAAGCCCGATGAAGGAAACAAATTACCATCTTAAGAAGAAACAGAAAACACATAATGAAAGGTCAGGCTTGGTGGCACATACCTTCCATCCTAGCACTCAGGGGGCTGAGGTAGGAAGATTTTGAATTTGAGGCCAACCTGTATACAACAAGACCCTGCAGGCAGAGGGGAGGAAGAGAGAAAGAGGGAAAGAAGGAGAGGAAGAAGATGAACTTTAATAACAAAAGGCAGATACAAACATGGCAATTAGATACGTTGACAAGTAAAATTTTACTAAAGAAGAAATATAAATGATCAACTATCATAGGGCAAATAGTTCAACCTTGTTTAGAATAAAGAAATGAAAATGAATGGCTACCTTTTAATTTGGCAACATTTTTTAAAGGACATTAATACTTTGTGTCAATAGGCATGTGGGAGATCAGGCTTTCTCCTGTGCTGTGATGCTCTGTAGGGTAAACTGAGAGAATGCAGTACAAGTCTCAAAGGGTATGTTTCTAAATTTGTTCCAACTAAAAGTAGCCAAAAATGTACAATGCAGACTATTTATTATTGTACAACATTAATGATAACACAGATGTTCAGAGAGAAGAGTTGTTACATTGTTATGATATAACCATCCAACTGAACAGTAGCCATAAAAATATATCCTGGGGGCTGGAGAGATGGCTCAGCAGTTAAGAGCACTGACTGCTCTTGCAGAGGACCTAGGTTCAGTTCCCAGCACCCACATGGTGGCTAACCGTCCGTAGCTCCAGCTCCAGTGGATCTGATGCCCTTTTCTGACTTCCTCGGGCACTGCATGACACGGGTGCACTTGCATACATGCAGGCAATACACTCATACACATAAAGTTTTATATATCTATGAACACTGGGGATCTGAACTTCAGATAGCAAAGCACTTTACAGACCCAACCATCTCCTCAGCTCAGGACATAGGAGGAGATGACTCAGTTGATAACGTGCCTACTATACAAAGTTCAGATCCCCAGTATCCATGTCAAAATCTAAATGTGATGGAGGACATCTGTCATCCCAGTGCTGGGAGTGTGTGTGGAGACAGACAGATCCCTGGAGCTTGCTGACCAGCCAGCCTAGCTGAATTGGTGAGCTCCAGGTTCAGAAGTAGAGCCTGTCTGAAAAAATAAGGTAGAGAGTGAGAAGACATCTAACCTCCATAGACACTATGCACACACATACACATGTGTACACACACATGTGAACATGTATACCTCTCTCTCTCTCTCTCTCTCTCTATATATATATATGTAATTATTCTTGACATGGAAAGTCATCCAAATTTTGTAGTTAATTGTAAAAAGTCTGATTTCAAAAATTCAAATGAATTGTATGATCCTATTTGGCTTATAAATACATATGTGAGATATGAAGGGAAGGATCCTTAAGGTTATGGCCATGATACATATTCCTTGTTGAATTCTGAAGTTTTCAACTTTGTATTGATCTACAATTTCTAATAGATACTTACTTGGGCAAAACAAAAGTAAATACAAGTACATATGAGAGGGCATCATTGTCTCAAATCCTGGTTCATGGTCATTTGTTCACTACCTCACAGAACCCTTTGATTCCTTTTTGCTCCTTATTTCCTTCAATATCCAAATGAAAACCACGTTCTTTGGATTCCATCTGCACTTCCTTCCTTCCCTCAACTAGCATTATCCTATTTTAGACCTGGCTTTATTTTTTTCTCTTCTAGGTCTCCACAAAGATCTCCCTACTGGTCTCTCAGCCTTTAGCTCTGTCCTTCAATGCATTTAAAAAATATTTTATTTAATATTATTTTATTTTATGTGTATGAGTGAATTGACTGCATGTAAGTGCACCTGTGTCATGCAATGCCCATGGAGGTCAGAAGATGGCATCAGATCCCCTGGAACTGGAGTTATGGGTGGTTGTTAGCTGCCACGTGGGTGCTGGGAACCAAACTTGGGTCCTCTTCAAGAACAGCCAGTGCTCTTAACCACTGAGTCATGTCTCCAGTCCTTTCAATGCATTTTTAACATGGCTACCTGGATATTTCTCAAAAATGGGAATTCAGTGAAATCACTTGGAGTCTGAACAAGCTACCAAGGCATCACACCAGTAAGGAAAACTGACTCTCCCTCTCTCAGCATCTACCAATTGCCAAGCAATCCTCGGCTAGGGCTGTACCAACAGGATAAAGGCCTCCATCTGCTCTTAGTCTGTGTCTGTCACTTTCTAAATACTGTCAGCTACACTGAATCAGTGCATTCCACATCCTCTTAGAACCTGACACTGACTGGTGCCTAGCTTTGTACCAAGCCTCTACCCAACTCCTTCACATTTACTGGACCTGAGAGTTTGAGCAACTTCTTTAATTTTCCACAACTTTGTTTCTTGGGGTATAATACTGATAGTGCTTGCCTTGCATATTTGAGGGGAGGGTTAGGTTTCCTTGAAATAATGTGAATGAAGCATCTAGTTGG